GGGGGGGGGGGAGTGTAGCCTAGCCCCCTCTCAGATAAGGCTAGATACTGCTGTGGCATAGGCCAGGAAAAGAGAAATGAAATGCAGGCGGCGGGAGACCCGCTAGTTGTCAGGTGCTAGGGACGCAGCCATGAGTACTCATATACACACCCATCCCTCAAAAGCTTCCTGTCTCTGGGATCTAATACAGAATTCCAACACACTTTTCAGTTCATTTTTTTCCTTACTATAAACACAACTGCATACTACCTTAAATTTGCACTTCTTGAAATAAACTGGTAATCCACCTGGGTACTAAACTTCCTAACTTACTTACTTCACAACAGAGAAGAGGGTAGAGAGCAGTACTACCAGCAGCTCTGGTCCTAAGTCACCCTTGGGTTTCTGAGGAAACCTTGAGCCCAGAGGTTTGTGACTATGTCTGCCAAGGCGAGAATTTAGAGGCTGGTAGAGGAAAACAAAGTAGATCCTTTTCCATACCACAGTCCTTTCGTACAACCTAACTAAGAGACAAGAGGTCCCAAGACCTCTTATAGAGGCAAACAAGGGCTAGGCTTTGTTCCTGTCTCTCCAACCATCTAAACCATGCTGATTCAGGGGAGCTTAGAAAGAAAGCAGTAAAACAAAGCCCAAAATGCCATAAACACAGCAACTGCCTTCCAGAGGGAAGTCAGCACAGGGAGTTCCCAACTCTGCCATTCAGCAGAGACTCCACCCTCATTCTGATATGTTACTTTCAGTAATAAGGTGACCCATACCTTGCAGCAGACAAAGCAGGCTGGGAGTGGAGGTAGTCCTACACTGAGCTACCCACCTGTGTACTGCCCAGTCGAGCCCAGCCTGGTACTTAGAGTCAATGTTTAGAAAGAGGCTGCTGTGTGGCAAGCTTATCAGTGGCCTTGCTATGGGTAAAATCCATATTTAGGCATGCTTATGGTACTCCCAGGAGGAAAAAAAAAGATGCAAAAAACAAACACAACACAAAACTCCCAACCTTAAAACAAGCACAAAAATTAGGAAAACAAAAAGCTAGAATTTATTAGAGGATACTTTTTCTTTTTTTAAATAAAGCGGCTCAAAACAGCAATCTTTGGTGCTAGCAGAGAACTTGTTTTGGTTTATGTGTCTGCATGAGGGTAAATAAAGGGTGTGGGTATCAACCTGGGTAAAAGCTGCCCTCAGTCTTCCTGGGAGGGAGGGCGTGTGTCTCCAAGGTGCAGCACTGAGATCACCACTGCCATCTGGTGGCCATGTATGAGAATTGCAGTAAAATGATAAAGCCTGAACTACTACAAGGATGGGAAATGCTAAAATAAGATAGTGAACCAGCAGCAATGTGAAGAAAGCCAACAGCACCAAATAAAGAGCGCCCCATCGCCTCCCCCAAACTAAGACAAAATAAAACTAAGAAACAGCAGTAGAAATTAAAAACCTTCAAGTCTGACAATGCATTTAAGTTATAAGAATTGCCAGGTCCATACTAGTAAGACTTTTTTTCCTATCCCAAGTGTTCTGGACACATTCTTTGAACCCAAGGCAGCCCCCGACTCAGAGGCCAAGTGAAAGGACAGGTGAGACTGTGCCTTGGGTCCAGTGAGAAGGTAGGAGACACTATGTTGGTGAGTGTGAAACAACATGTGGAGCTAACATAGCTGGGAGGCAGGTGGGGGCTCAGGTGACCTCTAACTGGCATAGACTCACAAGTCGCTGAAGTCTTTCCAAGTCCTGACTTCTGCCCTGGAAGCATTTCACAGGTGGCCAGGAAAGCCAAGTGTGAGGAAGCCCCATCCAGCCACGAGATGGGGACTGGATGCAGGATGTGCAAATGGAACTGAGTTCCAGCCAGAGCATTTGCACCTTGTGTTGGAATGTGGCCTAGCCCATGGCCTGCTGTGTCTGACCCTGAAAGGAGAGGCAACCAGGAGCCCTATGTGTAATTTTAAAGATTAAAAAAATAAAAATGACAAGATTATGACTACTAAATATTGACTTTATTCTTCATAATTCAACCCCTGATCTTTCTAGCCAAAGATAACTGTTGATATTTGGGTGTGTGCCCCCCCCCAAAAGGATGTGGGGTTTCTGCTGTAATCTGTCCCTCCCTGCCCCTCACATCTACAGTGTGCACAGCCCAGGATTCACTTGAAGGGGCCACGAATCCCATCCATTTGGGCATTGTGAACACACAGAACATCTAGAGGCAGCAACCCTGCATCTGCAAGGCAAACCAAGGCTTCAGGGCTATAGAGAAGAAATGCCCTCGGTCAATTACTTTAGTTCACAACTGTGACAAAGTGTCTACCTGGCAAGAGTATCCTCCACTGACTTGAGACAGGACTGTTTTGGAAAAGAAATTGGGCCATGCATAGCACACACACTTTTCCAACCAAGGGCAACCAAATGTGGGGGGACACCCCAAAACAAAACCCAAAATGCCCAAGACCAAAACCCAAATCAACCCTCTTACTTTAATTATAATGAAATAATCTCAGTGTCAAATGTAGGCGCTACCCTGACTGAGTCCATTATTACAAAGCAATGTGGCATTACAAGGATAAAGTCTGCCAAGGCCCACAGAGGCCTGGCCTGCCAAGGAGCTTCCCACAGCCTCACCTGGAGCTTTCGGGCCATGGCTACCACCTCGTGGTCAGGAGGGTTGTACTTGTAGCAGTTGGAGAACATCAACCGGACATCTGCACCAAATTCCTGAGCGTCACGGTACTCACGGGCCTCCAGTTTAGACTGGAAACACAAGACAGGTTATGTTTGCCCCTGCCGGAGGGAGGTGACAACAGGGAGGGCTGCTAGCAGGAGCAAGTTGGTGCCTTCAGGGGTTTGGGGTTTAACCCAGACCATGGAAAGAGGTCATCACCCTAGTTCTCAGCGTCAGGTTGAAAAGGAGACACTCAACAGCAATTCTCAAGGAAACTGCCCTGTCAGAATACAAACCTACCCATGCAGTCACTTTGCCTGACTAAGGGGGAAGCAGATACAGAATTCAAAGAGGCAGAACTTAAGCCATAATTGAAAAGGGAGGGCTGGGCCCAGTTCTGACCATATGTATGCTTGTTTTGGTGACACAGGACAAACCACTGGTCAAAAGGAACAGAGTACTGTTCCTGCTGTGCCTGTCCCATGTTTGGGTAGGCTTACTCCACTCTCAGAAGAAAAACGCAAAAGAGCTTAAAACAACACCATAAGGCCTCAGAATATGACAGTGGATATGCTGGCACTTGTCATGTGCCTCTTACCGAGAAGATAGCAAGGCCCTCCCTATGACACAGAGCCTGGCAGTCACCAACTTCCACACTCTCTGAAGCACCTACTGTATGCAAGGTGCCAGTGGGCCCTCAGCTCCAAGGCCAAAAAGGGCTCTTTCTGAGACTAGGGAGCAGCACTGCTGTCTGTGACCAAAACTGCCACATTGTCTGGGAACATGTCCCTACAGTTCCCAGAAGGGGGCGCTATACTCCTTTGGGCTGGTGAGGAGTCTAGAGAGCTGCTGGGGCCTCCCCTGGCCTCATGGATGCCCGCCAGCCCACCTTGATTGTGCTCATGTCCATGGGATGCTTGATGATGTCACAGTAGTCGTGAAGGCCCAGCGCCTCCACGTCCACAGGTTTGTAGAAAGGCCAAGCGTAGGCTGCATGCTTCTTGGCAAACATTTCCTTGAGGATGCCACTGCAGCACTTGAGCTGCTCTGAGACCTTGCTGCTCTTGTCCAGTGTGGGGTGCTGCTGTGAGTCGGGCACGTCCTTCTTTGGGGGCTTCACAGGCCGGCTGCTCTCCCGCCGGGGGCCCAGTTTGGTGGTCTTGGGCTCCGGGGGCAGCAATGGCGGCTCGTGAATGGGGTCGATGGTAGTGGGAGTGGTGGTGTCCGCTTTCCTCTTAACACCTTTCTTTGACTGCAGAGAGCACAGGAGAGGCAGCACAGTCAGGGGAGTGGCTGGCATTTGGAGCCCTCAAAGTCACTCCTGAAACCAGGTCCTTTCTAGGGTCCCAACCCTCCGAAGGAAAAGGAGACCCTGTCCCACCACTCTAATGGGACGACAGGCCCTGCCAGGGGCCAGGTGAACGCATGCCACTGAGTGCTGTATTTGCTCAATGAAGGCTAACAAAACCTCCTGAAGTAGCTTCCTACTCATTGCTGGGGGGAGGGAGGGGGAGGCCTCCCAGATCCAAGCCTGCCACTAGGCCACCTTGGAAGGCACGTTTAAGAAACTATTTAGCCTGTCCTAGCCAGTATGACTCAGTGGATAGAGCATCTGCCCTTGGACTGAAGAGGCCCAGGTTCGATTCTGGCCAAGAGCATGTACCTCGGTTGCAGGCTTGATCCCCAGCCCTGGCCAGGGTGTGTGCAGGAGGCAACCAATCAATGTGACAGCGATGTTTTTTTTCTCTCTCTCTCCCCTCCTTCCACTCTCTCAGAAAAGCAATGGAAAAAATATCCTAGGGTGAGGATTAAGAAAAAAACAACAACTATTTAACCAGCCTCTGCCAACAAGCATGGTCTAAATCAGAAATGAGAGGGGCCAGCAACCCCAGGGGACAGTGCCTCCATTATGGGATCTTTGGGTCAGTAGCTTCTGGGCCATGCTGACTTAAACACAGGGTAATCTTCCCCTTCACCCCCCAACACTCACGAGTGTCCTGGGAGCCAGAACAAGCTCTTCATGAAGCACTGGCAAGGATAACTATTTCCTGCAAGTCTCAAAGCTACAGATCAAGGGGTAGGGGTGGGAGGGTGCTAGCTGAGGTGGTAGAAACCCACCAGTGGTCAGGCTGGGCCGCACATAAGGGACACTCACCTTCACAGGCTGTGAGGTGGCCGCAATGATGGGTGGGTGGCTCTGCA